CTAAATTAATTACTAACGGTAAATATTTAACAATAAATCATAAATAATATGTAGTCCTTGAGTTATGATCCCATATCAGTCCTGGTAGTACCTATTAATTAAATAATATATCTAATGATAATTAACAGGGTTACCATAAACTTACTTACTTTACAGTATATGCTTAATGTTATATTCTATCAATTTTTATATGCATAGCATTTTTAATCTTAAATTTATTTTTAAAAATATTTTCTAAATATGTATAATATTATAATTAAAATTGCATTTATTTTCAAAAAACTTAAAAATAATTAAATAAATATACATTACATTACTTATAATATAAAATTATACGTTTTCAAAATAATTAAAAATAAAGCACAACAAAACATACCGTTATGCAAGCATAAATAATAGTTCATTGTATTATATTTTATATGTAATATAGTAATATCACAAATTTATTTTTATATAATAAGATAAATTTACAGTTTTGAGAAAAAGTGTTAATATGTCAAGCAATTTATTGCATTATTTGCCCAGACTAATCTTACACTAATCACTTGGATTCTTGATATTTTCTATATAAATATCGAGTAAGTCTAATTTTTAGTTTTTTATTTAATTTTAAACTTTTATTTTTAATATATTTCCTTAAATAAATTGTTTTGTATCAGATTGTTATTTAGCAAGTATATATATATTCTAATATAATACATATTATTGAGGCACTATATATTTTTCAGGAACTTTGGCGGTAGATAGTGTGACCAGATGTCCATTTTTGCACTGGATTATCCAGTTTGTGCACATAGTGTCCAGTTTTGTAATTGATCTATTACAATGTAATGGATAGTATTGTCCAGTTTTAAAACTTGGATTAATTCTAATATTATCTCATTTCATGAAATTGTCCAGTTTTAAACAAAATATTGAAAAATATCTGGTCACCCTAGCGGTAGAGCCCTGAATGCTCTCCGCCTGAGAGTGCTGTACAATACCTAATACCGGGGTTATTTGTATAGACTTTTATGCACATTGTCTATGAATAAACAACAAATATTTTATGACAACAAATGCTTAGCAAATGCGCGCTTATTTTAAAATAAAAATCAGTTTTTATAATGAATTCATTTCATGAAATTGTCCAGTTTTAAACAAAATATTGAAAAATATCTGGTCACCCTAGCGGTAGAGCCCTGAATGCTCTCCGCCTGAGAGTGCTGTACAATACCGGGGTTATTTGTATAGACTTTTATGCACATTGTCTATGAATAAACAACAAATATTTTATGACAACAAATGCTTAGCAAATGCGCGCTTATTTTAAAATAAAAATCAGTTTTTATAATGAATGCCATGAATTAGTATTTAATTCATTTTATAAAATTGTATTCATTATTATAACATATCTTAAACATTAAATGACTTTTTAACGCTTTATTGAAAATCACAACAAAATTAAATTCACTATTAATAATAACTAAAAATCATTTGACTATTGGTTAAAAAGTTTGTTATTCAATGTTAGGTAATATAATACTAAACAATATTATAAGCAAGCACACTTAGTGGACACATAATAGCCACCAAATATGTTAACTGTGAACACAATCACACAAAACAAGATACAATTGAATCAATCGATGGTTTACTGCCATTCAAAACAAATGTATTTTTTGTCATAAGATTTGGTAGAAATTGATTTTTAAAATAAAAGTATTTATAAGCATTGACTCCGGGATGATATTTACTTTCGATAAAAGTCTTACACATAACGGGAAAAATAGTTCAAATAATATGACTTCGAGATCTCATAGACTTCATGCAAATTAAACATTTCCCCCAAACTGTCCAACGATTTGGTCTCCGAAATGGACAGAAAGTCCATCGAATAACTCGTATTGAGTTTCTCCATAAAATAGTCGGTAACATTGATCTCGACTTTCTTGATGTGATATTTATTAGCAATAATAATGGCATCGAATAACTCATTGAATGAATAGCCTCTCAATTCTTTAGCACTAATTTATGGGTGCGGGTCTGTTGACCTAAAAACCAATTGACCTAAACTTAAATAACTTAATGACCAGTAGGTAAATATACCTGATGACCATTGTAAAATGTTCCCCTTGACCTNGTAAATATACCTGATGACCAATGTAAAATGTTCCCCTTGACCTAACCTAACTTTAGCTATCCTTACAATGGTCAAAAGTCTATTGGTCATTAAGTTATTTAAGTTTAGGTCAATTGGTTTTTAGGTCAATTTGCCAGTTCCCGGTTGCAAAATGTGTTTATTCATGTGGTTTTTGTTTATCACAGTCTCATCCCAGAAGACAGATAATGGTGATCCACCTCTTGAGGCAATTAAATCCTCCAAACCTTCTTAATTATGTATTCTTTAATTAAATTCTGAATTCATTTTGTTTGAATTATTTCTTCTCTTACTATATCACTATTTAATAAATAAATAAATAATTTTAAGACTCATACAATTACATACTGTTAGTTTGAATTAATATTACAGAATATGACAATATTAATGAAATTAAAGAGATTAATGTTTTGATATCAATCTTATACAAATTGTTTGCGACATATTTGAATTGTTTGGAAATAATACAACTCTGTTATGCGATCAATGAAATGACAGATATTTGAATGTTATTTGAAACAAAATATTACCAGGTTCGTTTTGAGCGATACCCCATTTTTCGCATCAATTTATAAAACGTTTTCCGTCCACAGGATTTGAATGATATTTGACTATTCTTATCATTTCTCACGTATTTGAAAACATCAAGTCCTGTCACCAAAATGTTTTCTTTAAACAATTTGACAATTGCATCGTCAATGTGTTCAAAATCATTATCTCAATACCTGTAATTTAAAATAATTTATTAATATCTAAAATAATTTATATTTAAATCGATTCATATATTGATAATAGGATTGGAGTTAACGGTTACCCAAGAGATGAGTTCTTGTTATACAACAAGACTAACAAATGATACAAAACTTATTGGATAACATAACTTAATATTTTATTTTATTTTATACTATAATTTTTAAGATTTTTCAATTATATTTATAGCCAGTGATCTGGCTCATCATTTCCAAAAATCAGAATTCGATTATTACTTATAGTTTTTGAGATCTCGATAACCCGTTCCCCATCCCGGCCCCTATTGAGCAGGCACAAATAGGGCATATTAACATATTGGTGCAATAAAACCATGTTTCTAAAAATTTTTATATTGATCTAGCTCATCCCTAACATATAGTAATATTAAGACATCGAGTCCAAAGGGTTTTGTAAAACTGTTTATATATATATATACAGTATATGACGTCCAGTAATCAAAAGGTATATATCAACTCTGTTTTCATATAATTTTTAAAAAAGTTTTATACTTATGCTATAATATGAAAACAGACTTGATATATACCTTTTTATTAATAAAGTACACATATTATTATGTAACTTATCTTAATGTTGAGTCCAAGTTGTGGTGTGTAGTGATTGAGTATTTGCGATAATTGTTTATTAGTTTGCGTTGATTGAGGTCTCGATTGCGTTTAGCCGTTGCGATTAGTTTAGACTCGAACCGTACGAACCATCAAAAACAGTGGAATAACTATTATGGGAGACTAATAACAGTTGTGTTGACGAGACTATAATACCCTAAACAGTTACACACAATAGGGTCGCCGGGAATTAGAGTTTGCGTTAAGAGGCCCTTAAGACATATTTTTATTAATTGTGGGACAAATGATAAAAAGTAAACACATTGGATTGCAGATTTAATATTTTATTTTGAGTTACATTTTGAGTTACATTTTGAGTTACATTTTGATATATTTGAGTACACAATTTAATACATAGAAAAGTGAATTTATTGAGACACGTAAGATAGGTCTGGCGCCAAGCAATGAGTTTATAACTGGTGTAGAATATTCTGTAATGTAAATCCAGAATTTCATCAGAATTTCCATATTCTGTAACGTTAGCGTACATTGCATCAGAATTAGGTTTCACTGCATTGCAATCCTGCTCAATGCTTGCATCAGAATGTAAATAATTAACATTTATAATGTATTATATTTTGTTTCAGAAAAAACATTAAAGTGTAACAACACGCCTTTTTGATTATTTTATCTAATAATAGTACTATATGTAAGGTTCAATATTTAATATACGAAGGGGGTTTTAAAGTTGGGGATGGGGTTCAAAATTGAGTTTTCCCCAAATTCTGTATCTAAACACATGTGATTCTACGGCTTGTTTCTCTATAATAAGGATTAGTCCGATTCTAATTTATGGCTCATTTGTTAACTTAAGATGTGTATTTAATGTGACATAAAGTTAGTTCATATACCAATGGTACGTCATATAAGAATCAATGGAAAACAAATAATTTTTTATATGTTATTCTATGGGATATTCTTTAGTTATAATTCTATAGTGATGTGTGTATAGTCACCAGTCGAGTAAGTGGTCTCTATGTGGAAACATATTATTAAAAATAATTTACCTTGTAATACTTTACATGGTTATAATAATAATACATAAATTGCATATTAGTTTTTATTTGTCATAATATATATTAAAAGTATAGAATTTTTATTGAGTTTTGATGTAAAAATTTATTCATAAAACACTAAATTATTTATATTGTGTTTTTATATATAAATTATATAGCAAAGGAAATTTTTATGTAATGAATTTATGAATTTTAAATAAAATTTATACTCTCGAACGTTAAGTGCCATGTTTATTTAGTTATTAAAAATATAATATATATTTCACATGTACAATCTGATAAATCATGAGAAATGCCATATATTTAGAAATTCTGATATAACTAATTATTGAAATATTAAAAAAAAATTATTTTAATAAATAATTCAGTAAAATAGAATATTTATTAACTTGAAAGTAAATAAAAATGTTTTACCTAAATTATTTGCTATATAAATTACGATTAAAAATTTTTTTTAAATGAATTTTAGTACCGGGTTATATATTATTATTATTTTAACTCTAGAATTATTACCGCTAATTTATCATATTTATATTACTATAAATTTCATTAAAAATACATTGCACGTTATAATTAATTGTCAAACACGTTCATCAAGAATTACTTCTCATTGCATGTACCTGGCTCATCAGTAACATTTTAGGTTGATATTTATCCATCACATTTACATCGCTTAAAAAACTCATAGAAAAATCGATGCTCATCATTATCCTTAAGGTTGTTAATTATGGCATTCAGGTTGAATTGCTTCCCGATTATAACCTTGTCGATTCCCCAATCGTCATATTTTGCCAACACTTGCGAACATTCGGGTCTCTCTTTACCTCGATCGTCTAATTTCAGCATCGAGCTCAAAGTGACTTGTAAGTTTCTCATCATGGTACTTTGAGTTTGACTCTCGTCTAGCCCGTGGCATGCTTTAGATGGACTGATATAAAAAATTAATTAACTTCCAATCTAATCAAACACATGTACTGATAGAAATGGGCTGGTTCCTTTCAACTGATTATTAGTTATGGCCCTGTCTTATTTGCCACAAACACGCCAAACAAAACAAAAACACTGGTTATCTATTAACATATTAAATTTTTAAACTATAATTATTTTACGAAGTATATTAGGTAGTTTATAATTGAATCAAATAGTAATTTAATAATTATAATTGTAATCGTAAATAAATTTATATGTAATTATTAAATTATAAACTCATTCAAATATAAAATATTCAAATATTTTTTAAGAATAAATAATAAATTAAGATTTCATAATAATTTAATATATAACCAGCAGGCCTTAAATAGAGTGTGTATTATGGTCAAGCCTGACACTATTAATAGTACAGGCTTAGGTAACCAATGGGAGAGTGAGTTGAATACAATTTCTAATGTATGGGCATCACGTGGGGTCATGGGTCAAAGTGCAAAACTCAAGGGTTACGATATATTCAACACACTCTCCCATTGGTTGCCTAAACCTGTAGCATTAATAGTGTCGGACTTTACCATAATATACACTATATTATTTACACAATCAACTCGAGTTGAAAGTACAGTGATAGAAATCTCAAATTTACCAACTACTAGCCAATTTGCTATTTTATTTTGCCATATATATATTAATGATAAAAGAATCTATCAATTTAATAACCAGTGTTCTAAATATTCAAACAATTGTATTAATCTATAGATAATGTACATTATTAATCATGTACAATATGGTATTATGTATAATTAATACTTTACTTAGGTTATTAATGTGATCGATTCATATACTGTATATATGCTGGATTTATTTTTGGTAATTTGAGTTTTCTGTTACTGCGATAATTTTTATGACTACAACGCTTAATTATACTTCTCTAATTCTACTCGCTCAAGCTCAAATAACTCCGCGCCAATAACGCCCAAGCTGTATACGTCCGATTTGTGATCGTATTTCACACCTTTACCAATTTCAGGCGCTTGATAGCCGACCGTGCCAACGTCCATGGTATGCGCGTTGGAACCTTGATTATTTATCGTCTTATGATGCACGGCGGCCAATCCGAAATCGCACAGCTTGACAAAACGATCATGCTCACTATCATACGAAATCAATATGTTTTCCGGTTTCAGGTCCCTATGGATTACGGGTGGACTCAATCCGTGCATATATTGCACGCACTCTAGCGTCTGACGGAAGATCTCGCACGTCATGTAGTACTCCAGTCGCCCATCGTTTTGCCATAATCTCGCGTAAATACCGCTGGTCTTAACTTAATGATTTTGCGCAAAGTATCAGGGCAATACTCCATGATGATGTAGAACGTTTTTTCGCCGATCCACCAATCGTAATATTTTGCAATATAAGCGGAGTTGACTTTCTTTAGGTTCTCCACCTCCCGGTATACTTTGTTTTTGTCGTCTAACCCTATAAAACATAGATATCCAAAATTCTATATTCTGTATATTTTAAGTGACAAGTAGCTTTGTATATACTTTGAATTTTAATTAAACATTAGTTATTTTATTTATTTCAAATGACTTAAAATTAATATTGAATCAAATAATTTAATATGCTAGCTATATCTAACAAAGTTGACAATATGCAACTCAATGTTATAAAAACGAGCTATATTAATTTTTAAACTGTGTATATTACCCAATATAGGGACGCATTTGACGGCACGAACTTCGTTATTATTTTTCATTCTCACTTGTAACACTTGACCATAACTACCTTGGCCAATAATTGAGAGTTTATCAAATATCGCGGATTCTTCATTGTTAACATTTTGCTGATACTCAGCTTGCGGGACCAAAACTGATTTCTAAATTAAATCGTATTAATGTTGTTATGCGGCACAAACTATTATATTATAGTCTCTGACTTATAAAGAAACCCCCAAGCCGTATCCCAATCATTTAATAGACTATTTTCGGCAATTAATACAGAAATTTATTACAGAAAGAAAGTGTAAAATAAATATACACTGGATTTGTTAGTCTCGTTATAGGGTATTGTGTGTGAATAAGCTTTAGCAACAATTAACCCAGGAAAAAAGGACTTATAAAAACAGGTGCAACTCTATCAAACTCACATCGACACCAAACTTTTTGTTAACTATTTAACATGTTATTGGATGGCGCCGATAGTTATACTATGGATATATGTCTGACTCATTGTTGCACCTGTTTTTTATAAGATATCTTTTTCCTGGATTAATTTCTGATAAAGCCTATTCACATGTTAAAACACAATACCCTATAAAGAGACTTACAAATCGAGTGTATGTTTATTTTACACTTTATTTTATTATTGATAATCCTTGCGTAATTCACTTTCACCTAACAATGTTTCCAACTCAGGAACATATATTAAAAGTCAATAAAAAATTTAATGAGTTTGTTTAATACCTCGCTTATTATTATAGAAAAATCTATACTCTGGCACACTTCAAGTTCATTATTATGTTGCCTTTTAAAAACAAGAATATTCTGTAATGCTTAAACGATACGGTGTTAGGGTATGGTAGAGGGGATATTAATTTCAATTATATCAAAAAATAATTAAAAATATATCGCAAATCATCCAATATAACAGAATATTCTTGTTTTCAAAAACCTACCTCATAGCGAACTTTAAGTGTGACAGAGTATAAATTTTTGCTATAACTAATAAGCGAGGTATTAAACAAACTTCTATTGAGTTTTTTATTGACAGACTATAAAACAAAAAATAAAAATTTTGAATCATAAAATTCCCTAAATTATTAATATACAGATTAATTAAATGATACAATTAACACTAATTTAATTAGTATAAATTCCTACTAAATGTAAATGACTAAATATTATTTGCATACTTTATGTATTTTATAAAACCAATAATGAACATATAACAAATTTAATTAAAAACTCATGTAATTTTGGCAATTTTACATAGAAAATAACATATATTAATAATGCTTACCTGATGTGTTTGAGACAAAGAATGCTGCCCGGTACTCGACTTACTGCCACTTGAAGTTGGCATGCCACCAATAATGTTGTTATTATACAAATGGCTCATATTAAAATTTTCGGGAATATTTATGTCGTTACCACTAACACCACTTTTGCCACCTTGTCCCTGGCTATTATTTCCAGAGCTCGATTCGCTGCTGGTAACAGGACCATTTACATAAAGGCCGGCATTATTGCCCACGTTTACCGGACCCATGTTGCCCGTATTATGCACCGGACCCATATTTACCCCGGTCACCCCATTCATGGAGCCCGAAAAATTCCACGACATATTTTTGCTTGATTCGTTTTCTGGTGATTAATTTACAGGGTCGTCGTTTGAAGTAACAGGTAGATTTACTGTAGCCTGATTAATATAAACACCAGGACCAACTACTAGCTGGCTCGCTAACCTTTATGGCGCTATTAACGTTAATTGTGTGTTCAGGCTGACGTGGCTCATTTACAGTTTGATTATGCGGTGTGT